GGGAGGAAAGGAAGAAGAACGTAGAGAGGAGGAAGAGGAAGAAGAGGAGGAGGATTGTGAGGTCTTCAGCAGATGTTTCATGACCCAGCTAGGGAACATCATCAGTGCTAGAAGGGAGTGGGTTTTGTGGAATGAAGCTGTAGGAGAAGGGGAGGAGGAGGAGGAGTGTGGGGTCTTGGGTGCTCTCTGGGCTTGGGGGTTTCCTTTCAGGCCTTTCACGACCCAACTAGGGAACAGCATCAGTGCTAGATGGGCGGGGTTTGCTGCTCCCTGTTTCCATACAGCAGCTTGCTCCGTCGGGTGTGAGCGGGATGGGTTTTCCTCCCAGGAGATTCCCGGATCCCAGGATTGCTTTTGTATTCCTTTGCCTCTGGCTTAAGTAGGGGGTGGACTGGAAGACCTCTCAGGCCCCTTCCGGCCCTTGTGCCTCTGACCTCCTACCTTTCCCACCAGCTGGACAATCTCGGCCAGGTCCTCCTCCTCCTGCAGGATCTCCTTGGCCTTCGTTCGCAGGGAGATGAACTCTGGGTAGAGCCGCTCGTAGTGCTCGTCCAGCGCCCGCGTGTATTTGCTGTAGCTGATCAGCCAGTTGACGGAGGGGAAGTGCTTCCGCTGGGCCAGCTTCTTGTCCAGGCCCCAGAAGACCTGCAGGCCGAGCACACACACACACACACACGGGCCTTGTCGGATGGCTTGATTCGTCTTTTAGTGTATTATTGCGTTGCGTTACTTTAGTGTATTATTGCATTTTATTTTAATTTTATAATATTTTATTCATTAATTATTATTTCATTTATTTTACTATTTCATTTTATTATTTATTATTTTACTATTTCATTTTATTATTATTTGATTTGATTTTTATTATTATTTGATTTGTTTATTATTTTATTATATTATTTTATTTTTAAAAAAATTAAAAATCCCTTCCTCCCTCCCTCCCTCCCTTCCTTCCTTTCTTCCCTCCTTCCTTCCTTCCTTCCTTCCTTCCTTCCTTCCTTCCTGTTAGAATGTTGCATTTCAGGCTAATTCTGCCCACTGCCAGGAGTTCAATCCTGACCAGCTCCAGGTCGACTCAGCCTTCTGCCCTTCCGAGGTCGGTAAAATGAGGACTCAGATTGTTGGGGGCAAATAGGCCGACTCTGTAAACTGCTTGGAGAGGGCTGTGAAGGCACTGTGAAGGTGACAACCATCAAACCAGCCATTCGATGGGCTTCATAGCCCCCTGGCTCCCAGGCCTGCTGGTAGAATCATGTTTTTAGGGCTTTCCAAAAGAGTCACAAGATGGAGGCCAGTCTTATCTCCACGATATGCCACAGGGAGGGAACATGTGGTGGCCTGTCAGCCAACGGCCCCTCCAGCAGCCAAATCAGAGGAGGAGGAGGAGGAGGTGTGGGAGTCGGGGTCTGCATCAGGGCAACCTGGGAGGCGGAACCTGGGCTGTCTAGTGCCTGATGTGTGGATGCACAGAAGGCAGAGGAGAGGAGAGCAGTGGAAATCTATGGGCTGGACCTCGGGACGGAAGAGCCACCGCTGCTAGCAAAGCCCCACCGTAGCTCTGGGGATCAAAGGCAGGGGACAAAGATGAATAGATGTGGCGGACAACTATTCACCTCCTCGATGGACGGACTTGTAAGCCTGCGGTGAGAGAGGAACTTGGCCGGGGCTGCCGGCATTCCTAACAAAGGGATCTTTTGAGTTCACGTCAAGAGGGTGTGTCGTGTTTGGGGAGCTGGGTCAGAACAGGGCCACCACAGAGAAGGCCCTTCTTCTGGATCCCACCAGGAGGGCCTCCTAAAGAGAGGGGACCAGTAGCCTCCCCTGGCCCCCGCTACTCTGGTGGGCGACTTAAGGAAAGACGGTGTTTCAAAGAACCTGGCCTGAAGCCATGGAGGATTTGGAAGGGGGCAACCGGCACCCTGAATTGGACTCAGAAGCAAATTGGCACCCAGTGCGGCTCCCACAAGAGAGGTGACCACATCATGCAAATCTAGGCTTGCACAAAACCATGTAGGTTGCCACATTTTGGACCAATTAGAGCTTTCGGATACTTTCCAAGGGCAGCCCCATGCAGAGGGCATTGCAGTAGTCAAGATGGGAGGTGACTAGGGCGTGGATTTGTTCGCAGCGGGATGGTTGGTCCAGGAAAAGGGTTGGATGCTCCCAGGGGCGCTAAGGAGGTGGAAGCAGTAAAAACCTGACTCACCTGGACAATCCCCAGAGTTGCAGAGGTGACGGGATCCGAGAAATCCCCGCCAGGAGGGGACACCCTATAAGAAACAGGCAAGAGGAGGTTGGTCAAAGGCATAAATCCCAGATAGCTGATGATTTCTCCTGTGAAGACCCAGGGTGTGACACAAAAATAACCAAGTCAGAAAGGTAGAATAAATTCCCTTTAACGCCCCCAACTTCGGCCCCAATGTCCAATTATCTTCAACTGGGTATCAAACTCTTCCATAAAACAGTCTACGAAGAAAGTAAATGCAGTCCGAAGCAAAAGTAAAAATAATTAGAAAGAAAAAAACCAACGCAAACTACACTGGAGTCATTAACACGGCAGGCCAGGATGATAAATTGCAGGCTTCCACAAGATAACGCAGCACCCACAGTTGGGAGGACCCCAAAACCCAGATAAACCTCGACCAAGATAATGCACGCTTTGCTTCCAGCAAGGAGCTGTTGTGCAGGTACCCTGTTCTCCCAGCTGCAATTAATGACAGGGATCAGGGCCTTTTTCTCCACCCTAAGCCATGTTGCTCCCTTCTCCGTTCCTCCCTGCGTGCCCTAGGATGAAGAGGGGATGGGTCTTGCTCTGAATGCCCAGCCGGACTGTGCCCTTCCCCCGTTTCTTCCACAGCCACCAGACCCCCACTCCCACTCCCTCTCAGCTTCTCAATCTCCCCCTCAGAATCAGACCCCAACAAGGGTATGACATCTCCCTCCTACCAACGGCTGAAGTTTGTTTACAAAGCTTTCCCGTCAGCAGCATCCAACGCCTTGATGAGAACATTGAGATTTCAACCCAGCCAATGGTTGGCTTGCAAAAATGAAGAGATCCGCTGCTAAAAGATGTCTAATGATGAGGGAATAGAAGGGGAACGCATCAAATTTCCAGATGATACCAAGCTGGCAGGAATAGCCAACACCCTATAACCGTGATGGCGATCCTATGGCATGTGTGCCACAGGTGGAACGCAAAGCCATTTGTGCCGGCACGCGAGCCACAGGCAAACTTATCTCACTGAACATGCACATGCCTCACAGCTGATTTTCGGCCGGTTTGAGGCCTTTTTCGGCCTCCCAGAGGTTTGAGGAAGGCTTCTGCAGGCTGAAAAATAGGCCTGTTTCGTCACTTCCTGGATTTCCAGAAATACCAGAAGTGACAAAACAGGTCTATTTTTCGGCCTGCAAAGGCTTTCCTCAAGCATCTGGGAGGCCAAAAATCAGCTGTGAAGTGCAGTGCAGGTAAGGGGGGCAGTGGCGGGGGGAAATTGCATGCGCAGGGGTGTGGTGGGGCGCACACATTGCCTTCTGGGTGCTGGCACATGAGCGTGCATGCACAAGTGGCACCCAATTTTTGGCATAGGAGCCCAAAAAGGTTAGCCACCACTGCCCTAGAAGTTAGGCTCAAGATCCAGATGGATCTTGACAGACTGGAACACTGGGCCGTAACTAACAAAACGAAATTCAATGTAGAGAAAAGTCAAGTCTTACACTTAGGCAAGAAAAACCAAAAGTACACATACAGACTGGGTGAAACCAGGCTCAATAGCAGTAACTGGGAGAGGGATCTTGGAGTCTTAGCGGACAACCAGTTAAATATGAGCCAGCCGTGTGCAGCAGCAGCCAAAAAAGCGAATGCAATCCTAAGTTGCATTAACAGAGGGATACAATCAAGATCAAGGGAAGTACTAATACCACTCTATAAAGCCTGAGTGAGACCACACCTAGAGTACTGCATCCAGTTTTGGTCACCACTATAAAAAAGATGTTGAAGCTCTAGAAAAAGTGCAGAGAAGAGCAACCAGGATGATGAGGGGACTGGAGGCTAAAACATACAATGAACGATAGCAGGAACTGAGCCTGGCTAGTCTTGGGAAGAGAAGGACCAGGGGAGACATGATAGCGGTCTTCCAATGTTTGATGGGCTGCCACAGAGAGGAGGAAGGGGTCAAGCTATTATCCAAGGCACCTGAGGACCAGAGAAGGAATAATGGATGGAAACTGAACAAGGAGAGATTCAATCTAGAAATAAGGAGGAATTTTCTGACAGTGAGAGCAATCCACCCACGGAACAGAAGTTGCCTTCGGAAGTTGTGGGAGCTTCATCCCCGGAGGCTTTCAAGAGGAGACTCGACTGCCACCTGTCAGAAATGATGTAGGGTCTACTACTCTTCAGTGGGGGGGGGGGTGGACTAGATGACCTCCAAGGTCCCTACCAATTCTGTTAATCTGTATCTAAGAATCTGGCAACTTACGCTCCGACGATGCTGACGCTTCCCTCTCGCTCAGGGCTTCCCAGGCACCTGACACGGCCGGCCCGTTCATAGAAGGACGCCAAGCGGGCGCCCAGGTAGGCTGGGTACCCACTGTCTGCAAAGGAAAAAGAGAGTTTGGGTCTCTCGTGGTTTGGAAAAAGTCCGCGAAAGTTGAGGAGGGAATGAAGACGCAGGAAGATCTGTTCCTTCTGAATGTGGTTCTCAACCTGGACAGCTTTAAGGAAGGCAGACTTCAACTCCCAGAATCCCGCACTGCATTTCGGAAAGCTAAATCAATGCTTCTCGATCTCAGCCTCTTTAAGAGATGTGGACTTTGTTGGAAGTGTAAACAAACAACAGGTACTTTCTTTCACATGTGGTGGTTGTGCCCCAAAGCCAAAAAATTCTGGAATGAATTAAAAAATTGGCTGCAGGAAATAACAAATGAAAAAAAAAATAGAATTCAAACCGGAAATGTTTTTATTAGGGATAATTAGAAGTGAATATAAAAAAGAAATTGAATATTTCATAATACATATTCTGACAGCAGCAAAAATAACTTAGGCTCAAAATTGGAAAGGGGAAGGTAGTCCCACAGATAATATGTTAATTGAAAAACTTATGGATTGTGCAGAAATGAATAAACTTATCGTGGAGTTGCAAGAGAAAGAAAAAAGAATTCTATATGGTCTGGGATAATCTATATACTTGGATAGATAACAAGAATAATAGTTTATATATAATGTAAATATGAATAATGTATATATGCATAGAGATATGAATGATGGAAGATGGAAAAAATGGTACAATGTATTGCAAAAAATGTAAACATGATTTGTGTGTTTTTTTTTAAATTATAAAACTTTAATAAAAAAAATATTAAAAAAAAAAGAAACGTGGACTTCAGCTCAAAATAAGGAAAAACTCTCAGGAACTTTGAATTCCCCGAAGTAAAACTTTATTGAATACACCATTTTGGTACTGAAGAATCAAAACCAGCACTGGTTTCTTCCCACGCAAATGCTTGCCTGGTTAAACAACAGCTTCCCCTTTTTCCCCGCCTCTGAGTGGTCACATTGTCCAATCATGAGACGTCTTTTTGCTATGGGAACAGTCCGTCTCCTTCTCAAGCACCTGCAGCAGTGGCCTTGGTGGTTGCACAGGCTCTCACGGTCACACACACATTCTCAGCTTTCTATTTCCCCTTCTCTCCCCCGTCCCAGTCCAAGTCTAAAAAGCATTTAGGGTTGAAAGAGACAAAGCAGTTCAAACTTGACACTCCCAGTATCTCCCATGTGTTCAGTGGGAAGGCCAGGAACTGGGTTGAACTGGTCCAGGGGTCTCCAACCTTAGCAACTTTAAGACTTGGGGACTTCATCTCTCAGAATTCCCCAGCCAGCCTGGGGAATTCAAACTGCCAAGGGTGGAGACCAGCCTATTGAAAAGAAGGATGAGGAGTGATAGGATCGCACTCTTCTAATATCTGAGGGGCTGCCCCAAAGACGAGGAGGGGATCAACCTATTCGGCAAAGCACCGGAGGGCAGGACAAGAAACAACAGATGGAAACTAACCAGGGAGAGAAGCAACCTGGAACTAAGGATAAATTTCCTGACAGTTAGAGAATGCTCCAACTCTGGAAGTTTTAAAAAAGATATTGGATAACCATTTGACTGAAGTGGGGTAGGGTTTCCTGCCTAGGCAGGGGGTTGGACTAGAAGACCTCCAAGGTCCCTTCCAACTCTGTTATTCTCTTCTCTTCTCTTCTCTTCTCTTCTCTTCTCTTCTCTTCTCTTCTCTTCTCTTCTCTTCTCTTCTGTTGTTCTCTTCTCTTCTCTTCTCTTCTATTTTCTATTCCTTCATTCCAATATTTGTTCCATTCTATTTTAAAAGGAAGTTTTTAAAAATGATGTTGGATAACCCTTTGTCTGAAGTGGTGTGGAGTTTCCTCCTTCCTAGGCAGGGGGCTGGACTAGAAGACCTTCAAGGTCCCTTCCAACTCTGTTAATCCTATTCTATTTCAAAATAGCCACGGTGGAGAACACCCTGGTTAGGAAGTCAAAGAAATGTATGGAGAGAGAGGGAAAAAAAACCAACCTGCAGGCATTTCAGCCAAACGGCCAGAAATCTCACGAAGGGCTTCCGCCCAGCGGGAGGTGGAGTCGGCCATCATGCTAACATGGTATCCCATGTCCCGGAAATATTCCGAGAGGGTGATTCCTGGGGAGAGAGAAAGGAAGGATTACCGGAAGATCCCAAAGAAAACTGAAGAGGCTTTGCTGGTCCCTTCCTACCTTTGTTATGCTGTGATTTTTATCAAAGGAGACAGCACGTGTGCCAGTCCTGAAAAAGGGAGAGAATGTTCTCACTTTGTGACATTGGCCGTCTTAGATAGTGGCGTCTGGCTCTCCTTGGCTGATCTTGGAAAAGGTATCAAATATTTGGGCAGGAATATTAAATCACCCGAAAGTTTCAGAGGGATACGACCGACAACAGCGCCGAAAAAAAGGCATTTACAGCCGGTCCTGGCACCTATGACCGTCACAGCATCCCTCCCTGTGGTCACATGGTCAAAATTCAGGCGTATCTTTAAACAAGGTAAAAAGGTGAAAAAGGTTCCCCTCACACCTACATGCTAGTCCCGTGATAGCAAACCTGTGTCACGCGTGCCACAAGCGGCCCGCAGAGCTATTTGTGCCAGCATGTGAGCCGCAGGCAGACTTACCTCCCTGCGCATGCGCGTTCCTCTCAGGGGCTTGTAAAAAGCCTCTGCAAACTTTGCAGGCCGAATAATAGGCCCGTTTCATCACTTCCGGTAATACCGGAAGTGACAAAATGGGCCTATTATTCGTCCTGAAAAGCCTTGCAGAGACTTTTTCCAAGCCTCTGGGAGGCCGAAAAAGGCCTCAAACCAGCCAAAAAATCAGCTGCGAGGTAAGGGGGTGGGGGTGGAGATTGCATACACATCGGCAGAGGATGGGGGGAGGGTGGGCACACATTGCATTCTGGGTCCTGGCACGCTAGTGCGTGTGCGCTGGTGTGTGCACAATTTTTGGCACAGGAGCCCCAAAAGGTTAGCCACCACTGTGCTAGTCGTTTCCGGCTCTAGGGAGCAATGCTCATCTCCGTTACAAAGCCGAAGAGCCAGCGCTGTCTGAAGATGTCTCCGTGGTCATGTGGCTGGCATGACTAAATACCGAAAGCGCACAGAGCGTTGTTCCCTTCCCACCAAAGGGGTCCCTATTTTTCTACTTGCATTTTTTATTACGTGCTTTCGAACTGCTAGCTTGGCAGAAGCTGCTGGGACAAGTTAACAGGAGCTCCCTCCGTTATTCGGCGCTAAGGATTCGAACCGCCAAACTGCCAACCTTTCTGATCGACAAGCTCAGCCTCTGAGCTATTGAGCCACTGAGATCTGTAATGTCACAGGCTCATGTGATGGCACTTGCAACCTTCCCAGCCAACTGTCAACTCATGAAATATTTCTGTGGTCTTTTTAGAGTTGCCAACAGAAAGGGAGGAAATTGGAAAAAGGTTTGGAAATTGAAAGTGCATTCCATAAATGTTTTCAAAGATAGTAACTAGATGACTGAAGTTTCTGCCGGACAAAACTCTTAACTGATTGATGACTCTTGGCTATGAATGTGTCCCATTGGAGAATATGAATTACTATACACCCAGGGGGTGGGGGAAAACCAGAGTCAAGGGTGACAATGGATTATGGCTCCACCCAGGCAATGATTTAAATGGGGTTAAGTGTCGGAATCCTGACACCAACAAGCAAAGGAAATAGGGTGTTTCCTTAACAGCTGCAGTGATTCGCTTAATGACCATGGGGGAAAAAAGGTTATAAAATTGGGCATGTCCCACTTCGCAACTGGAAATTCCAGCCCCAATTGGGTCATAAGTAAGTCATTTTTTTCCAGGGCCACATTGTAACTTGGAATGGTCACTGAACAAATGAGTGTAAGTCGAGGACCATCTATAATACAGTGTGAGAATTCAGCCATAAACTGTCTTAACAGTTAACCCAAAGATTTTACTTTCTTAAGATAGTTTTAGGGTTTAGCAGTGGGGCATCTGGTGGGGTACCAACTCTGATCCAAAAGAGAATCTTTTAGCCAAAAACAGGGCAATTTTTAATGCCTGTAAATTTTAAGTTTTGAAAATTGCTTTGGAAGTCCTTCCCATGATTGTGGTTCTCAGGCAGAGGTGGCATTCAACCGGTTCTAGAGAACCGGTAGCAGAAATTTTGAGTAGTTTGGAGAACTGGCCAATACCACCTCTTGTTAGGAATATAAGTCACCTAACAGGTATTTGGGTTAGAAATATATAAACCAGGATAGACATTTTAATACTGTCTCTTTAAGGAAATGCAAGAGCATGCAATTGGGTGTGGTTACTCAAACGGCCATAAGATGGAGCCAGAAACCTGGGCTGTTTAGTCTTAGTCTCAGAAGAGAGCGCGTCTGAGTGTGTATCTCTGTTTCCTTCTGTTGGAGAGTATTGCCGTTCCTTCTAATTGACTGATATTACTGGATTTGATGTAAGTCTGATACTGAACTGTTTATGATACTGGATTATCCCTGGACTGAAAACTGACTGATCTTACCTGTGAATGACTTTGGACTGCCTATTTTGAACTTTGCTTAAACCTTTCTGGAAGCAAAAACCTACATTTACTGTACAGTGTATGCTCTGTGTGCTCTGTGTGTATTAATCAAACACTTCTCTCAAATACGTCTCCCTGTATGAGCTCATCCTCCTAACGGGGAATTACCTCAACACCTCTGACTGGCCCCACCAACCCCATCTCTTCGCTGCCTCCCACGGAGTCCCAGCTGATCGGCTGGCTCTTCTTTGGTTGCCCTGCCCAGGAGAACGGAGCTGGAAAGCAGGTTAGTGGGGTGGGGGCAGGGAATGGGGATTTTGCAGTATCTTTCCCCTGCCACACCCACCAAGCCAGACCACTGTTCTCAGGTGTGTGGGGGGCAGGGTGTGTGTGGCATGAAAAAGCCCCTCACCTGTGTAAATGGAGGCCTCCCGAGCAGCCACGGGCATGTTGGAGGTATTGGCCACCAGCGAGGTCCTTTTCATGATGGTTTCCGTCTTCCCATCTACTTCCATGGTGAGCTAGGAGGACGAGAGCCAAAGAAAGTCTTGAGGAGCACCGTGGCTTATAGCGGTGTTGCTCGGCCTGAGCCGTTTTAAGACACATGGACTTTCAACTCCCAGAATTCCCCAGCCAGCATGCTCTGCAATTCTGGGAGGTTGAAGGGAACCCTGGGAGCTGAAGTTTCCCCCCATTCAAAGATGCGGAGGCTGAGAAATGCTGAGCTAGCTTTCCAAAACAGAAAGGGGAAGTGCTGGGAGTTGAAAGTCCACCCGCCTTAAAATGAATACAATTTGAGAAACACCGCTAGCTAATATGCTTATATACAACTTTATATGCTATTCCCAAAACCCTAAAAAATTGGGATCATGACATTCTGGCCTCCAAATACTTTGCATAACTTTCTTAAAGGCAAAAATAAGTATAACAGCATTGGAAGGATCTTGGAGAATCTATGCTACTTTAGTAAGTGGCTGTCTAGTTTCTTGTTAAAAACCTCCAGTGATGAAGCACCCATGATTTCTGGAGGTAACTTCTGTCCCACTAGTTAATTGTTCTCATTGTTTGGAAGTTTCTCCTTATTTCCACGTTGCTTCTCTCTGTTCTGTTCCGTTTCCATCCATTATTTCTTGTCCTGCCTTCAAGTACTTTGGAGAATAATTTTCCACAAATATTCTTTGTGGAAACCCCTGAGGTATTGGAAGGCTGTTATCAGGTCACCCCCTTAGTCCTTCTCTTCATTAGATTAGACATACCCAATCCTGAAACCGTTCATCGTACGTTTTAGCCTCCGGGCCTTTTTAATCCTCTTGGTTGCTCTTCTCTGCACTCTTTCCAGAGTCTCAACATCTTTTTTTACATTGGGGCGACCAAAACCGGATGCGGGATTCTACGTGTGGCCTTATCGAGGCATGATAAAGTGGTATGTACGCTTCATACGATCCTGATTGTATATGATTTTTTTTCCCAGCTGATCCACGAGAACTGGATAGAAGAGCAGAACCGTGTTCCTCTGAAGGTCTCCCCCTTTTCCTTCCAGCCCATGAGCTGCCATTTCCATCGAAAGGCGGGGGGGCTCCTCAAGATATTTGCACCCAGGTGAAGACCAGCAGTGGCTCTGTCGACCTTTGTATTCAGGCTGCTTTCACGTTTACAGATTCACACTTTGCCAACGGATGGGGCGGGGGAGAAGGGAGGGAGACGTCGGAACGTGCCTTCCAGACCAATAACAAGAAACCGTCTCGTGGGAACCAAGGACGTTCCAGCAGGTGTCTGCCAGGTTGGTGGAGGTTTTCCCATAACAATACCTGGACATCTAATCTAATTGGACAATCTGGCCTGCACTAATGTGGGGGAGTGAGGATTCTATACTTCAACTTGCTCTTATATCCCTGCTTCGCTGAGAAACTATGCAGTCAGGCTTTTGGTGGGGGGGGAGAAAATAAGGGGAGGAATTTCTGCCTCTGCCTACCAGCATCCATTGGTATTCATCTAGCTAGCATCCTATCAGTGGGTGAGAGAGTTGAGGGCTGTTTGGAAACTGATGCAGCATTTGCTGTGTGAGCAAGAAGGAGACAGCAAGGAGCCTGGGCGTGGCTTAGCTCAACTGTTCTGTACTAAAGCCACTTGGTGCTGCTGTGAAACTGAAACTCCTCTGCTTGTGTTTTGCCTTTGGAGCAGATTTCTTTTTAGGTGGGGTGGGGGAGTAGAACTCCTTAGCATCAGAGTGTGTTAATAATAATAATAATATAGGAAATACTAATGCTCTGATGGTTATTTTGAAAAATCCTTTCTTAGTGAGCACCTAGAAGCCAAGAGGAACCTACCTGCCAAATTTCAAGTTTGTAGGCTTTATGGTTCTGGAGATTTTGTGATGATGCCTAAGTGGTCTTTTGCTTTTATACTGCACATATATATATATAGATAGATAGATTATTATTATTATATTGAATTGCCTGGGAATTAGCCAGAGTCAGTTTGGTTTTCATGCTGTGCCAAAATGATGTACTCAATAAAGCGTTGCAATAAGAAATCAGACCATCTCGTCAGTGCTTGTTGAGTTGGGTTCGTCAGCCGGAACCTTGACAGGTTCTCGCTTAGTGTCCCTGTCATCCTCACCTCGGGAAAGTCCCTGAGCACCTCCGACATCTCGTTTCCACGCTCTCCGCAACCCACGTAGATGATGACATCACTGTTGGAGTACTTGGACAGAGACTGGGAGATGACCGTCTTCCCGCATCCAAAGGCACCTGGGATGGCTGTGGTGCCACCTTGGACACACCTGGAGGATGAGGGCAGAAGGAGAGACACCCCCATCCCATTCAGCTTTTAATGAGACCCCCCCCCAGAGAGGTTTCATCCAACAACTGGATTCACCCAACCACTGAACCATAAAGAACCAACTATACCCTTGAACGAAGCAATCCAGCTTCTCCTGCAACTAGGATTAATTGGTTAAACCAGAGATCGCCAACCTTTTGGACCTCAGGGACCACCAAACTCATCATTTTAAATCCCACGGACCAGAGACCCTGAGAAAATCCCAAAAAAAAGTCTGCAGGAAAATTCCCCTCCCCGTTTTCCTACCGACCGATCGTTCTTTATTTGGGATTGCAGGATACCATCTCCAGCTCCGTTCTCATGGGGGGAGAGAGAGAGGAGAGACTTTTGGCTTCATGCAAGGAAAACAGCAGAAGCAGCAGAAGTCTTTCTTTCTCTCCCCCAAACTCCGCCAGAAAGGAGTTTTTTTGAGATTTGTTGCACTGGTGCAGCCTCTTGGAGCAGGAGGCCTTGCGGGGTCCCAAATGCTCGTTTCTGGCAGAGTAGGAAGCCTTGGTCAGAACACAGGTTGTAAAAGGGTCATTGTTGCCCACCCCTGCCGAAAAGGGATCAACAACCTTTCATTTTCTTACAAAAATGATGGCTTACGGAAAGAGCGCGTCTAGGACCCTCTGGCCGGTAAGCAGTGGGTGATTGGCCGGAAGCTTCTCGGACACCGGACGGATCTGCCGGACGGGCCAAACTTGCATCATGGTCAGTTTCTCCTTGACTCCTTCAAAGTCAAGCTCCAAAACTACATCCTTTGGGGAAGAAAGTCCAGATGAGAAAGGCAAAGAATTATGGGCAGGAAGTGTTTGCCAAGGGTTCAAATCTCGACTTGGGCTCAACCCCTTAAGGAAGCATCAGTGAAACCGATGTCTGTTCCTGAGCTCCCAAGTTGCTGTTCTGAACCTGTAACATGTCTGCTTCTGTTTGAGTTTGCTCCACGCTGGAGAAATTATCCAGGGTGGTGGCCTAGAGGTGGAGCTCTTGCTTTCACAATCAGGAGGCTGTGAGTTTGATCCTAGGTAGAGGCTAATATTTGGAATGGGCTGTCCTGCTCAAGCAGAGGGTTGGACTAGATGACCTCCAAGGTCCCTTCCCGCTCTGTTATATTCTAGGATAAATCTACAACTGGCATTGTGAAATGTACTTTTATGCATTTATAAAGAAGTTAAATGAAGCATCAGCCTTTACTTTTCTGGCACTGAATTTACACTGCAAAACTCGGCAGCATCAAAAGCGATCCTATCAGAGCCCTGTTTGCTGGCAATTCAGATCTCTTCCTCTGTCAGAAATGGTGGAGTAGGGTCTCCTGCTTGGGTGGGTTGGGGGGGTTGGACTAGTTGACCTCCAAGGTCCCTTCCAACTCTGTTAATCTGTTCTCCTCCTGTTCTTTCCAGCTGGGGCCGAGCGATCACTCTGCAGAGAGACCACTTACCGAAATGTCGTAGTTCCCAGCTGGGGCCACGTGGGTGACGGTGCCACGGCTTCGGGGGGGCACCATGATCAGATGCTTGATGAGGGAATTTTCATGAACCGCCCCATAAATGTCCCCTCCGGTTAAATGGCTCCCAACCTTAAAACGAAAAGGAATGCTGCTTTAAAAATCCTTTTGGTGCTCTGGAGTCCAACCGAGGCCATTTTAAGACTGGTGGACTTCGACTCCCAGAATTCCTCAGCCAGCAAATCAGGGGTCTCCAAACTTGAAGACTGGTGGACTTCAACTCCCAGAATTCCTCAGGCAGCTTTGCTCGGGGAAACTCCGGGAGTTGAAGTCCACCAGTCTTAAAGGGGCCAAGGTTGGAGACTCCTGCTTCGTTGGACCGTCCAGAAGACGACCCAACCAATCAGCTGGGACTTGGGAGGCGGAGAATCGATGGGGGCGGGGCCAGTGAGAGATGGCATTTGCCGGTATTGTAGTTCACCGGCAGCCTTTGCAGATGGCAGAAGAATTGGACAGTGGGGAAGAATAGGGGACCAGTCTAGGAGTCTGGGGAGGACTCGGACGAGGGTCCTGTGTCCGATGCAGAGATGAGGCCAGGGTCATCTGAGAGTGAAGTGCTGACACCGGAGCCTCCAGAATCTGACAGCAGCGAGGCAGAGGAACAAGGGGAGCCTGTTCCCAGTGTGCATATGCGCAGAGCTGCCAGAAGGCAAGAGCAGCTAAGACAAAAGGGGCAACTCGGAAGTAAGGCTTGGAGGTGATTGGCCCCTCCCATGAGGTATAAAGGAAGTGCAAAGGTAGGAAAACCTTTGCAGGAAGCAATGTTGTTCGCTCTGGTCAGTTTGGAACCTGAAAACTCCGTGGTGAATTTGTTCTCTGGTTTTGGAAAGACTAATTGGGACTTTAGTCGTTGGCAGCACTTCAAGTCAGATAAAGGTGCGTTCTTATCAGACACCTCCCGAGGAATTTTGGCGGACGTCCCTGGGACTAATTATAACCGGTTTAAAACTCATTTGGGGCTGTGAATGAGGATAATCCACAGCCATTGAACTAAAATAAAAGGGGTTTGGATTTTATGTGTGTTTGTTGGTATCTCAGGAAGCCTTGGTCAGAACAGCCGGTTCTCCAAACTCTTCAAAATTACCACTACCAGTTTCTCCAGAACTGGTCAGAACCGGCTGAATGCCACCTCTGGATCTCAAATGACTCTTCCCTGAACAGCTGGTTGTCTCTTACCCGGATGTTGGAACTCGGCTTAAAGTCCCACTTCAGGTCTCGGGATAAAGCGGAGATGTTGATGCCCCGGGGAATGTAGATGCTCTTGGTAATCTCGGTGATGTCCTTCAGGGGGCGCTGGATCCCGTCAAAGATGGAGCCCATGATCCCAGGCCCAAGAACCACGGAGAGCGGCTTCCCCGTTCGCAGCACGGGATCCCCTACACAGACTCCCGCTACAGGGACGGCTCAGGAAAAAGAAGGGTGCACAGCAAGGACAAAAGAGGAGGATGGTAGAGTCTCTGGTAGGGAAAGGAGACATTTTGGGGAGGGGAGGGCCACATCCTGGCTTAATCCTGGCTTAATCCTGGATTGATCCTGGTTTAATCCTGGCTTAACCCATCTACGGAGATAGTCTTGTCAAGCAAGAGCAGAAAGCTGAGATGCATGAGGGCTTCCATTTTTCTTGAACTTTTGAATTATGTTTTGACAATTAGATTGACTTGGCTGAGATAGAAATGGTTTAAATTTACTAGAAATTTAACGCCAAAAGGTTGTAACTTTTCCTGTGTTCTACTTGTGCTGAAAAAAAATCACAAGTCAGAACTTGGTTTTCTTTTCTTTGCACCTTTACCTTTGGTTATCCCCCATCTTTCTTGACCTCTGTTTCTCTTTCATTTTTTAAAAATTTTTTAAAAATAAACTTTATTAAACATTAAAAGATATATCACAGAGTACAAAACATTTAGTTAAAAATGAAACCAAAGAAAAAACATAACCAATAAACATAAAACGTATATATTTCTAATTACTTAGACGTTGCGTTCTTATCAAACAATCTTCTCATACTTATTTCATGCATCTGGTTAATACTCCTATTATAACCTCTTTATATTTTCCCTTCCTTATCTATTTACTCGCTGGTTTCTGTCTTCTATCCAATTATACCAGTTTTCCCAAACTGTATATTTTGAGTCTTCCTTTTCTTTTAATTTTTGTGTAAGTTTATCCATTTCAGCGCAATCGCAGACCTTCTGGATTATCAAGTTATCTGTTGGCATCTGATCAACCGGATTTCCTTCTGGCTCCTGGCCGGCATGTCATAAAATGAACTCTCGAAAACCTCACCTATAATTCTACCTACCGCACGAAGGGGGGAATCCCGGAAATGAAGAGTTAACAACATTGGACAAGGAAAACGAGACTTCCCCCAGAAGGATACAGGTCTCCTCGTACACTTGGATGGTGGCCAGATCTCCATCCAGACGGATTATCTCGCCTACCAACTCAAAATGGCCAACACGGACCAGCTCATACATCGCTGCACCCGCCATCTTGCAGGCAATCACCACTGTTGGGAAATTTGTTTTTTTCAAAAAAGGTATTTTAGCAGAGAGAATAAGATGCTTGACTAAGCTGCAGAAGAGAAAATAGTCTATTGGAGACAGGATAATCTTACCAGGGTTTCTTCAAGCGGCCAAAGTTGAGAAACACAGACTTTAGCCAGCATCAAAATAGGAATTACCTACATTTCAATTTCAGCCTCCTTCCTTCATCAGGCTGACTTCTGAACAACCCAGCAATAAATTAGCAGTCTCTTAGCGATACTTAAGCGATACTTAACCATGCTTGAGAAGTTGTGCCCAAGTTTTTATTTTAAACAGGTTAAAGGTCCAAGGTAGTATAGTGACATCCTTAATTTTATTTTATTTTTAAAAATACATAAAGAATCTCAGCTATTCTCAGACATTCTCCCACAAATCAGGAAAATACGAATTTCTGTAATAGAGTTGTCAAACCCACTGCCTACCTGATTCAGTGGTCTCAGCTATAAATTTTCACAGTTTCAGTCACAAATCGTCTTCCGTGAACCTTACATCATACTTAAGGGGTCAGTAGAGGGGGTGTGCATAAGTGCACCAATGTGCCTACCAGCCCTGTCATTGTATTTTTATTCTCTTACTAGCTCGATGCCCATGCTTCGCTATGAAACTAGGTGGTCTGGCTTAGTTTTTTTGGTGGAAAAGAAAATTCTGCCTCTGCCCACCAGCATCCATTGATGTTCATCTGGCTAGCATCCTATCAGCGTGTGAGAGAGCTGGGGGCTGTTTGGAAACTCATATTTGCTATGTGAGCAAGAAGGAGACAGCAAGGAGCCTGGGCATGGCTTAGCTCAACTGTTCTGTACTAAAGCTGCTTGGTGCTGTGAAACTAAAACTGAAACTGAAACTCCTCTCCACTGATCGTATTTTGCATTTGGAGCAGATTTCTTTCCAGGTGGGGAGGGGGAGTAGAACTCCTTAGCATCAGAGCGTGTTAATAATAGTAATATAGGAAATACTCTAAGTGCTCTGATGGTCATTTAGAAAAACCCTTTCTTAGTGAGCCCCTAGAAGCCAAGAGGAACCTATGTGCCAAATTTCAAGTTTTTGTCTTTATGGTTCTGGAGATTTTGTGATGATGTGTGAGTTGTATTTTGCTTATATATATAAATAGAGAGAGAGAGAGAGAGATTCTTGTTCTCATTTTTGTTTGACAAATTCCAATAAATAAATAAACATTCATGCAAAGAGCATTATCCTTCTTGTATGGAATCTCTGTTTATCCCCCCCTGAAGTGTCTGTTAGATTTATATCTCATCTCAATTTCTCCAAAACCCTCTTAATATAGTATTCTTATATATAGTTTTTTGGATTATAGATTTGATCTTTTTAAACTGAAGGTGGGCAGCCCAGCACCCAAACTGACAGGGAGACTCAAAGGCCACTAGGTGGCACTCATTTCTTTTTTTAAAAAAAATAAAATTAAAATTAAGAAAAGTTCTATTTAATGGCCAATTCTTACCCAGCCTCTACATTAAATTTGCACTCTTTGGGGTTTAGAAACACTCGTAAAACCTCTAGGAGGGAAGCAGCCTAACAATACGCAAAATCACACCCAAAATTGACTGCATCTGCTTGCATCAAAGACGTTGAGGCTTTAGGAAAAGTAGAAAGAAGAGCAAGTAAGGTGGTTAAAGACCTGGAGAGCAAAACATATCAAGAATGGTTGCACGATTTGGGTCTGGCTAGTCTAGAGCAGGGGTCCCCAACCATCGGTCCTCAGACCGCTACCGGTCCGTGGATAATTTTTTACCGGGCCGCAAAGCTTGGGTGCCGCCATCTTGTTTTGACGGCGCTTCCGGGTTTTCGGTTGGAAAGCAGCCTTTGGGTGCTCGCGCCTTAGTTTCGTCAAAGGGGGGGGGGGCGGCTTCGAACGAAGAGCCATCCCGATGGCGGTGGAGTCTCGCGTTACTCAGGTACCGGTCCGTGGAAGAATAAATAATCGTGAAACCGGTCCCTGGTTCAAAAATGGTTGGGGGCCACTGGTCTAGAGGAAAGAAGGACTAGGGGTGACATGATAGCAGTCTCCCAGGATTTGAGGGGCTGCCACAAAGAAGAGGAAGGGGTCAAGCTATTGTCCAAAGCAGCGGAAAGCAAGAGAAGAAGCAATGGGTGGAAACTTACCAAAGAGCTAAACAACCTGGAACGAAGGAGAAACTTCTTAACAGTGAGGACAATTAACCAGTGGAACAGCTTCCCACCAGAAGTTGTGGGTGCTCCCTCACTGGAAGCTCTTAAGGAGAGACTGGACGGCCACTTGTCTGAAATGGTATAGGATCTCTTGCTTGAGCAGGGGGTTGGACTAGAAGACCTCTGGGTCCCCTTCCAGCCCTAGGTTTAGATAGATAAAATACACAGATAGATGAAGTAAATGATGGATGGTTGGATGGATGGATGGATGGATGGATGGATGGATGGGTGGTCTGTCTATCCATCCATCCATCCATCCATCATTTACTTCATCTGTCTATCTATCTGTGTATTTTATCTGTCTGTCTGACGTGAGAGATGAGACAGAGGATGGATGGGTGAAATAGCTTCCATCCTTCCAGCAGAGGAAAGATTTGCACAAGGTCCTTGAAGCAAGTATTAGGAACAGTTCCTGCCTGGTGCCATGGTTCTCCTTGAAGCACACCAGCTAATTATAGGTAGTCCTCAATTTACGACTGCAACTGGGACTAGCCACTACGACTGCTAAGCAAGGCAGTCATGTCTAATTTTACAGCCTTTTTTTTTATAGCCACAATTGTGAACCCACTGCAGTGAATCCACTTAACAGCGGAAGTGATTCACTTAACAATTGTGGCCAAAAATACAGTGGTACAATCAGGCACGTCTCACTTAATGACCACCTTGCTTAAGCAACAGAAATGTGGCCGTGAAGTGAAACCAGCTTGCCTCACTGAGTTTGCTTCTTGGAGGACAGTTAGGAAGGTCCCAGAGCAGGAGATCTCCAACCTTGGCAACTTTGAGACTTGTGGACTTCAACTCCCAGAATTCCTCAGATTTTCTGGCTGCAGCTGTTCATTGTATGTTTGAGCCTCCAGTCCCCTCATCATCCTGATTGCTCTTCTCTGCACTCTTTCCCGAGTGTCAACATCCCTTTTTATAGTGTGGTGACCAAAACTGGATGCAGTACTCTAGGTGTGGCCTTACTAAGGCTTTACACAGTGGGATTAGTACCTCCCTTGATCTCGATTTGTATCCGTCTTCTCTGTGACAGCCCCTCAAGCACCGGAAAACAGCAATCATGTCACCCCAAGTCCTATTCATTCCTCATTCTCATTGCACCGGAAAACAGCAATCATGTCACCCCAAGTCCTATTCATTCCTCATTCTCATTCCCCATTTCCCCTCTGCAGGTAGTTAAAAGGGGTACTTTAGCTTCTTCAGTTCTTCTCAGCCAACTTACCAGGCCCAGAGACGCCATGGACAAACCCCAATTCACTCTCCTTTTCCGCATCCCCGATCTTGGGAAGCTCGGAGAAATCCATCGCTCCCGTAGGTCAGTTAAGGCAGCCGGATCCCACTTCTATGACTACTGCAAACTCTGTATCAGAGAGGGAGAAAAACCCAGCAGACATAAAATAAAGCAATAAAAACAGGACTTTAAAAGAGAAAAAAAAAACCCTTCTCATTCTTCTTTCGGTGAAGGGAGCAACGCCCCTGAAGGACTCCTAGTTTGTGATTTGGGTGGCCAAGTTTTGGAGCTTCTGAGCCTCAGAAGGTGAGGAAACTCAGAGGCTTTCTAGTCCAACCCTTTGCTCAAGGCAGGAGAACTTATACCATTCCCAGTCAAATGGTTGTCCGGTAAAGTTTTGAAAATATTCCAACAAGGGAGCACTCACAACTTCTGGAGGTTTAATTCACTGATTAATTGTTCTTACAGATTAACAAAGTTGGAAGGGACCTTGTAGGTCATCTAGTCCAACCCCCCACCCCCCCTGCCCAAGCAGGAGATCTTACATCATTTCTGACAAATAGCAATCCAGTCTCTTCTTGAAAGCCTAACTGTCAGGAAGTTTCTCTTAGTTCCAGGTTGCTTCTCTCCTTGATTAGTTTCCATCTGTTGTTTCTTGTCTTGCTTTCTGCTTTGGAGCTTGCTTTGGAGAATAATTTGTCCCCGTCTTCTTTGTGACAAATATTGGAATACTGCTATCATGTCACCCCTGGTCCCTCTTTTCACTAAAATAGACATACTAGATTCCTGCAATCACTCTTCATATGTTTGAGCCTCCAGTCCCCTAATCATCTTTGTTGCTCTTCTCTGCACTCTTTCCAGGGGTCTCCACATCGGTTTTATATTGTGGGGACCAAACTGGACAGAGTACATCATCCTGAGTCTTGTGAGTGCATAACAAAAGGAATTGTACAGAATAATGCCCATTAAAGTTTGCTTTTCTTCCAGCCCAGCTTTGCCTTAAGTCGGGGTCATCTTACCATTGGGAAGGTGGAAATTTTTCTAGGAGTTGGTACCACCACTCGGTGTATGCTTCCCTTTCTTCCAGCGGGCAAGTAGGATGTCTTCAGCAGGAACAGAGGGGTTCTGATGGAAGAGTAAACTTGGAGTAAGGGACTTGCCGATCCCTCCAAGCCAGTTCTGACCTGAGCAGGCACCCAGGATCTGGAAGGGGCTGGAGGGCACTGGAAGAGAGAGAGACATAGCCAAGCTTTCTGGGCAACAGAAAACCACTCCGTGTGTGTGTGTGTGTGTGTGTGTGTGTGTGTGTGTGTGTGTAGTGTCAACAGCCTGGCCTCCTATGACATACTTCCCTGCAGCAGAAACCCTGACCTTCAAATCCTCCCCTTTAAGGAGCTTTTCCCTACACCTGTTTGTGAAAGAAAACTAACATTTCTGCATGCAGGTATTTCAAGCAAAGGAGAGGTTTGGTTAAGCAGAATGCAGAATAACAGAGTTGAAAGGGACTTTGGAGGCGGTTTCTTCCCCAAACCCCCAAAACTTAAACCTTAGACTGTCTCCTATTGACCTCACCCCTTTCCTAAGAGGCCTGTAGGGGGTGTGCATAAGCGCACCGACGTGCCTACGGTCCCTGTCCTATTGTTTCTTTTATTTATTTCTTTTATTTTTCTTATATGTATCCATGCATTCATAACTATGTTTTTTTTACTTATACCTATTATCTTGTAAGCAATTGACAAAAATAAATAAAAAATAAAAATAGTCTAACCCTCATGTGGAGCAGTAGAATTCTGGACCCTTCCAGGCAAACGGCTGTCCAATCTCTTCCTCCCAGCTTGCTGGACCCAGTAAAAAAAAAAAATTATTTTTGGGCTCACACAAGATCCTGCACCTTAATCTAATAACCGACTGGATTGCCACAACACGATGTACCTACGAGAATCTGATCAAGGTTAATCCTTCTAATCTTCAAAAGCTAATATTTCATTTTTTTTCCAGTTTCAAAGAAAAAGTCCAAGTGCAAACAAAACTGGAGGAGTTCTTCTCTTTAAGATTAGAATGATTTTGCTGTTATAGAAATCCCTGGAGGTTTTCAAAAATAGACCGGACCACCATTTGACCAGGTTTGTATGAGATCCCCTGCCTTGGGAAGGGGTTGGACAAATGACCTCCAAGGTTCCTTCCACTGATTCAGTGAATCTAAATGGCTTGAAATGTTTAGAAATGTAGAGCGAAAGGTTTAGGCTGTCATTCTTTTCTTATTGTACTGCACTGAAAAAAAAATCAGAAGCCAGTATTTTGTTTTCATTCTTTTTATCTCTTTTTATCTTCTTTTTATCTCTCTGCACTTTTCTTTCTCTCGTTTAATTTGCTGAAGTTTGTATTTTATTCTACAACACACTTCAATAAAACATGGTGGGGGGAGGAATGATTTCAGCCAGAAGCAGCTTTTTTCTGGTATTGTAAGGAGGAGGGGGTCACATTTGGCAGAGATAGTCTGTTCAAGGTGACTCTTAAATCTCCACTGTTTATGGAGACTGTATGAGAGCAAACAAATCCAGTTTTTTCTTACTTACAAACGGGATATTACTATTATTTTTTGTGATTCAGCTGGCATGAAGCCATTTTAGCCACAGGATGAAAGAAAAAAGCTGATTTCTGAGCCTTGGGCGGCTTTGCATATTTGTGCATTTGCCTATTTTGTAAAAGCATGGAAAAATAATAAACGAGGAGCCGATGATTAGGATACAAACCAGAGGGGGAAATGAGATCCTCGCTTTGCAACGACTCAGGATTTTATTGGCATATCACACTCTAGAAGAGACAAGGAGAGGAAGTTTTAATATTTTGCATTCTGACACCTTTATGATTTGTTTAATGTAAATCTACCAAAAGGATCACAGTCAACAGATTTCCCACTTCT